GTACCCCAACCTAATCTTTTAAAGGGGCAACCTCCCAACCAACAAGCTGGGCAAATTTGGACATCTCAATACATCTTCAAATGAAAGCAATGGTTAAGAAAACTGCAGCTGATTAAAAATTTTTGCTTCCAAAAATGTAGAGGCTTAGGCTTGCAAACCCATATAGACTTCCCTCCCCCAATTTATGACAGGGCTGTGTGTGTTTGGTTCAGGATATGCACAGAAACTACGTTTTATAGTATTACCAATACCACAGAATCAGAACCTGGGTTCGGAGGGGAAACTGGCCATCAAGAACAGCCCTAGCAAAGGCCCAAAGCTCTGGGAATACACAGGCTATTAGACATGGTCCCTGCACTAAGGAGACCATAAGCTAGTGCGGAGGTCGGCTTGCAAGCAGCCAGTGATAGACAAACCTTGGAGCTACAGAAGCACAGAGGCAGAAGGCCTTGCGCTGGCGGTGGGAGGAGCCATCAGATCTGCCGGAAGACTGAGTAGGCAAAAGCCATCCTAGTTAGTGCCTGTATGAGCTGTGCATGGCTGAAGCTGGTGAAGGGGAGGAGCAGAGAGGAGCCATCTCAATGGCACAAAGTAGGCCACCCCAGCAGACAGGAGATTTGCATTTAAAATGATAATTTGACTGAAAGCGGACTGACCGAGAAGGGAGGCACCAAAACCAGAGCAAGAATTTGGTTGAGGAGCTACAGTGATTAGCCAGAGATCATGAAGGCCAAAACAGATGAGGACACATTTAAAGGGGCTATCGAAAAGGTAGATTATAAGACTTAGCGACAGCCGGATGCAGACTTTGAGAGGTCTCCGAGATAACCATCAAGCTTCTGGCTTGGGTAATGGGGTAGACAGCAGCCCCGTTCAGGACTGGAGGGAAGAACAGGTGAAGGGAAGACAGTAGACAAGAAGCTTAGCCATGAGTTGGCTGATGAATACAGTGGGTTATCCAGATGACGCAGTCCGACAAGAAGCTAGCTATATAAATGTTGTGAACTATGTAAAAATAGACATACACATGTGATGCTAGTGAACCTGTTGGGATGCTTCCGTGTATGGATAATATTCAATAGAAACCTAAAGTGCTCCTATCATAGGCCAGGCAGCAGGCTGGGCTCGGGGCCAGCGGGGGAATGAGAGGGGACTGGCAGGCTGGGAGGACAAAACAGTGATTTCGAGTTTCTGCCTCGACTTTTTCCCGTGAAACAACCCTACTCACACCTAGAGTCTGGACATTTAGATAAGGAACTGAGTTTAGGATTCCCACCCCAAGTTCCCCCTTTGATTTTCTCGGGGCTGCTTTTTAAATTAAACTACCACTTAAAGTTGAGCCCATGAAAAGTTAGTAGCCTCTACCCCTACCACCTAGTAAGTAAATGGTACTTCCACTCTGCTATCTCCATAGGGCAACAGAGAGCCATCAAAAACTTAAGCCAGGGAATGACACATGTTTTTCTTTCTTCTTTTCTTTCTTTCTTTCTTTCTCTTTTTCTTTCTCTTTCTTTCTTTCTTTCTTTCTCTTTCTTTCTTTCTTTTCTTTCTTTCTCTTTCTTTCTTTCCTTCTTTTTTTCTTTCTTTCCTTCCTTTCTTTCTTTCTTTTTCTTTCTTTCTTTCTTCCTTTCTTTATTACTGACTACAATATGAGGATGGATTAAAAGGGAAAGATCTGGAGGCAGCAGCAGCAGTCACAAAGTTGTTGGGGTGGAAAGTGGCTACATTATCATGGACACATTCAAGGGGCTGATGGACAGAGCTTGGTGACAGGTGAACACTGGAGAAAAGAGGGGCAGAGACGGTGCCCAAGGCCCCTAGCTCACGCAGCTGGGCCAACGTCCCCGAGATGGCTGAGACTGCATCGTGTAAGGAGAGGGCCAAGCCAGAACCTCGGGAAACCCAAAGTGTGAGGCCGGACACAGACAGTGGAGCCAACCCAGGAGCCCAAGAACCAGGGTCACTTAAGAGGGAGAATGAGGCATCCCTCAACTAGCAGATTTGAAAAAGGAATTGGTACAAAGTCACTACGCAAAGAGGCCAACTGAAAGCGAAAGGTTTCTGCTGGATTTAGCAGTTAAGTCCCTTTTAGCGGACATGGTTAAGGGCAAAAGCCTGATCACATGTCCCCAGCCCCGCTCCTTAAAGTGGAGACACCCACACATGTCTTCCTGTGGCAACTAGAAAGCAACACAGGTCTAGCCTGGTGGTTGCTACACAGCTCAGTATTGACCTTCTCACCTGTAACATGGGGATAATCATGTGCCCTGGCCCAGCCTAAACACAGGGGACCCTAAAACCCGAGGCCTTTGGAAAGACTTACAACCACTGCTGCATCCTGCCTTCTTTTCTAAAGTCAAAGCCACTTTTTGCCAAACCACCTTTCAGTTCAAAATAGGCACTTTTGAAACTTGTGGGAGGAAAATTTGGGGTGCAAGTTTCATCCTTTGAGACTAAGAATACTCTTAACATTAGTGAAACTGTAACAACTGATAATACAGCTGGTAATTTTGAAACAAGTTGCTAAAACCTAATGCAAGATTATTTCTTACACATACTCTTTTAACATTTCATAAATTACTTTTTCTAGGGTCATGTGCATGAATTCAACTTTAAAAATCTAAAAACTTACTTGAAAATGAAAACATTTGAAAAATATTAAGCAACATCGTATCCTATTTAGCTTGTTTAACAGAACCTTTCTTCAGTGTTTCGTTTGGCATTTTGGTTATACTAATTTTACCGGCTTAGATGCAAAGTGAAGTGAGTTTCCTAATTAATGGACTTGTAATATTTATGCAGGAAAACTAAGAGACATCAAATTAGAACTGATGTTAGAGAAAAAGTAAGTTAACTGCCTTGTGGCCATTTAGTCCTTTGGCTCGGCGCCTACTAAAAGGGAAGGTTTTGTTTGTGAACACGCAGTTGACAAGCACATTCCATGAGGCTGATGACCAGGGCAGCCATCCCAATCTGTTCACGCAGAGCGAACCGGGAGGCCGTTGACTCCAATTCACTGTCACGCCGTCCTTCCTGATCAGATCGTTTCAGTGGGAGAAAACATTAGCGCCCAAGGTCAGCAAATCCTTCTCCGGCGCACCTTCCACGCAGGCTGTGAAGGTTCCTTGTTCCTGGGCAACCTGACAGAGAGCCACCACCAGCCAAGCATCACCGGCGCCGGTCCCCACGACTGTTCATGACGCCACACCCCACCCCCTCACCCCGATCCCCAGCCCGGCTCCTGAGGACACGCTTCCGCTCGGGGAACCGACCTCCGAGGGGCGTGTGCAAGAGCGCCCGCACGCGCTGGGCCCGGGGCGGGGCGAACGGCCGCGGCGAGCCCCCTCAGAGTGCGCGCCTCCTGCCACCGCCTCCCCTCATGGCTGCCTGGAGTCTGCCACGGGTGGGCGAGAGCGCGGAGCGGTAGGAAAGCAGGGAGGCGGCGGGAGGCCGACGCGGGCGCGGTCCCAGCAGAAGCTGGGCGCGGGAGGACGCGAACGGCAGCGCCGGGGGCATTCCTGTCGGACCCGCCCTCGCCCCGCCCCCGGCGCCGTGTATCTCCCTCGCTCCGCCTCCGGCGCCCGGCAGCCAATCACAGCATCGCGCACGTGACGAGCGCTGCCTGCGATGACCTCATCCCTGGTGTGGGATGACGTCAAATTCAAGATGGATGGAATCACAGCGGCAGCGGCGGCTGCGGCGCGCGCGAGCCGAGTGTGAGCGGAAAGGGACCCGACGTCTGCCTCCAGGCTGAAGACCGGTGAGTAACTGTCACGCCCCTCGCCCTAGGAGAACTGCTGGGCTCTATGGGAGGCCAGAGCCTCCCCGCAAAACGCGGCCTTTCCTGACGTAACTCTGAGGTGATTTCTCCTCTTTTTTCTACCAGTGGGTTGCGGGTTCCGAGCGCTTCTGCGCGTGCGCCGGTTCCCGTCTCTCACCGAGCATGCCCCGGGCTCCCACGTAGCCCATTGTGCCTTCACACTGCGCATGCTCCTTTCCCGCACTTGGCCTCGCCCTCGCCACTGCGCACGCTCCATCCCTCACAGGGCTTCCCTCGTTCGGCCAGGTGGCCCTGGGGGCGGACGCGCCCGGCCTCGGCGCGAGCTGTTGCGCCGAACGGTTGGGACGTTTTCCGGTCAAGGACGCGTGCTCGCGTCCCGTGCAGTCGTGAATGCTGGCCACTGGCCTGTGTCCGCCGAGGGGCACGCGAGCGTGCGCGGAACCTGGAGGGTCAGTGGGACGCCGCACCTGCCGCGGCCGGCGCCCCTTCCCGTCGTCCCCTCGGGCCCCGCCTGGCGGCTGCCGGCATAACCGACCAGTAACCCAAGTTGACTTTGCTTTCCGCGCTTTGCTTCCTGGCCGGCCCTGCTCCGAACGCCTGGATCTCGGGGTGCATTCCTTTCTCTCCAGGCCGTTTGAAAGACCTGTTTCTCGGACTGTCTCCACTGCCCGTCGCGGAGCACAGCCCCCTCCGCTGGCCACAAGCGTTTCTGCTCGGCTTTAATGGTTCCCCCCTTGAGAAAGCCCTGGTCCGAACTCTGCAGCCAGGGGCGGTGGGGAAGAGGGCTTTCAGACTGGTGGTGCTGGGGACCCCAGCCCAGAGACTTCCGCCGGTCTGAGTCCCCGTGATCTTGTAATGGGTTCTCTTACAGCTCAGACCACTTATCGGGAACAAGTTCAGTAGCTCACTGCAAAAGAGCATAACTTTGACCGTAGGGGAGTCCCACTCTCCTAGCTCTTAACCCCGGTTACTATGCCCTCCAGCCACAGGGCTGCGTGGCTCTGGAGGGTATTTCTGCAGCAGCGCGTCTGGAGGTGGGGTGTTTTTAGACAGGTTCTGCAGCGGGATTGCGTGACAGTGGGAGATGGGGGAAACGTTCGTCAGACTCCGCTGGTGTAGCAGCCTGGGGATTTTAGTGCAAGAACCAGCAGCGCTGCTCGCGTCCAGAGTCTGAGGCCGTCAGTGTAGTACAGCATAGTCCAGTGACTGTTCATGATGATGGTCCTGAATCATGAAAAGGAGCCTGCATTGTGTTCTGTGTACCTTGTTTAAGAAGACAAGAAAATAGGTTAAACCATTTTAGAAAGATTTCTCATTGACAGTTATTTTTAAAACTTTCCCTCTCCGATGCTTAAATTCTTCATTCATCTCTAATGACTAAAAGTCATTACATTTAAATTTAAGTATCCCTAAGTATTGCTGTTACAAAGAAACAAATTTGGAGCATTGGTTTACTTGAAAAGGTTATAACCCTTGCCCTCAAGGAGTTTATAGTGTTCATGGCAGGGGGTATTGGGTGTGTAACAGAAGGGCTAAGTTACTGAGGGAGCCTCTGGGTGAAGAGGAGGTAATTGAAGGGACAATTCTAGATGTCCCCAAAGCCAGTGGGGATGGGAGAGCAGGTCTTGGGCTGTTCATGTGCACAGGTCGTAGTGACTAGCTAGAAAGGAAAGAGGAGAAGTTTCTGGTTTGGGAGATCTGGTGGCTGGCAGCCCATGAAACTGAAGAGGGAATACGTGAGGACCAGCAGACATGGGGGTCGGGGCGAGAGGGTGTGGATCATACCTCCTGCCCTGGACATGTGGGATATCCTGTGATGGAAGTCTTCACTGGGCAGCTGAGAGGCTGGATGGAGTTCCAAGAAGCACAAGCAGAGACACAGATTTCAGAGTCATTACCCAGTGGTAAATTAAAGCCACAAGAACTCATACACAAAGCAAAGAAACCTGCCACGTGCTGAGCTCTGTAGCAGATGCTGGAGCAATAAAGGTGAGCAAGTCCAGGTCTCAAGCCTTTAGTGCAATACACAGGTGGAAACAAGAGGTCTCCCTTTTAGGGTCTTTCATAAAGGAGATATGAAAGTATATCACTCAGTAGTTGTATTATTGCAAAGAGATAAAATACTATGGTAGTTCAGATGACTAAGGTACTGGCTAGTTTAGTAGGTACAAACTACTAAACTTTATAGGAACAGTGACATTTGAGCTGGATCTTTCTGTAGAAGCTGGCTGAGTAAAGGAAAGGTAAGAAAGATATATTTAGATGGTAGAAATCAGATGTGCAAGTTTGTAGAGTGGGAGGTAAGGGTGTCCATTAAGGGTGGAGAAATGACTTGTGACCAGAGTATGAAGAGTCTTGTATGCCATTCCAGCACTTGGATTTTATCTAAGAAATGGAAAATCAATATAATATTCCAAAGCAGAGCAGTGATGGACCAGCTTTATGTTATGAAACAAAGGCATGATTTCTACTGCATAGAATTGGAGTGTCACAGCATTGAAAAATCAATATTTATTATTGTGCAAGGTAATATGTTGAGCATTGTGAAGAGAGTCAAAAGATATTAAATAGATCCTCGGTCCTTAAATAGCTTACAGTTCTGTTGGTGAGACACAGATGACTAATAGTATAAGGCAATAAATAAACACTATGTAAATGGTGCCGCTCTGTGTAATGCAGGAGTTGAAAGGTGTTTGCTTGTTACAAGTAGTCAAGGAAGGTGTATTAGTTTTCTAAGGCTGCCATAACAAAGTACCACAGACCAAGTCGCGTAAGTAACAGAAATTCATTTTCTCGTAGTTTTCGAGCCTAGAAGTCCAAAATTAAGGTATCTTTAGTGTTGATTTCTCCTAAGGCTTCTCCTTGGCATGTAGATGACTGGCTTCTCTGTCTTCACATGGCCATGCCTCTGTGTTTGTGTCCCCTTCTTATAAGTATACCAGCCAGGTTGGAGTCCAGCCCAGAGACCTCATTTTAACTTATTACCCCTTTTAGACCTTGTCTCCAAATACACTTACATTCTGAGGTACTGGAGGTTAGAACTTCAGCATATGAACGGGTTGGGGGCAGGTCACACCGTCCAGCCAATGACAGAAGGCCTAATTGGAACTTGCCTGAGCTTTGAAAGATGATTATTGTTGAGCTGAGTGGCATGCTGGGGAGGAGTTAGATGAGGTGTCGAACATTGCAGATTAGGTGATAGAATAAGCAAGATGTTGAGGTTATGTCTCAGAGATGAAGTATCTGAAGCAGGAAGCTAATCTTTGGGATAACTAAGTGGAAGAAAATCTAAAAAATAGTTTGAAACCAAAGTTACAGAGCCTTGGAGTATGTGTCTTTAAAATTTTGCATTTTAGCCTAATGGAGAACCATTGTTTCTGTTATTTTGTTTTTAAAGTCAAGGCTGTCTCTTTTCACTTAGATCTTACGTCTCAGCTAAAATGTCGCATCAAGGCATTTCCTGACCATCCTCTCTAAACCCCTAGTTACTCCACTTAGTCATAACACTTTGTTTATTTCCATTATAACATTTAGAACAAGCCGTATCATGTTTTTTCCTTCCTTGTTTATCATCTGATTTACTTTATTAAAAAGTGGGAGCCTTGTCTATTTTGTGCGCCCCTGTATTTCAAATATATCTTACCATGCCTTGCATATGTATGTAGTAGTTGAGCAAATAAATTGCATTAATAATAGTAACTCTTAATGTGTACATCTGGAGAATGATTAAAGCTTTGTTTTAGAAAACTCAGTGGAGCAGCAGTTTATAAAGGATAGATTTGGAAGTTATGGCAGAAAGAATGAATACCACTTAGAACTATGTTAGGGACATTTAATGACAAGAACAGAAATTGAATGGTTAGATTGAATAGAAAAAGGAATTTATTATAAAGGTACAGGGTTGCTCTTGAGGTTTGAGGAAAAGCTAAAGAATTGGACTGGAAAGGACAAAAACCATGGTAACTGCAGGAATCTGTGTAGCCAAGCACTGGCAGGCTGCACTTCCAGGCTGCTGCTGAGATAAATCAGCTCCCCTCATTTACTGCCTTTGACATCTTTCTCAGGCCCAAGTTCCAGAGAGAAAGTTTCTGATTGGCTTGGCTTTGATTATGTGCTTACCCCTGCGCAAGGGAGAGCAGGCATCAGGCTGTGCTCAGAGGTTGAGGGTGGTTCTTCCAAAGCCAAACCTAGGGGCCTCCTGCAGCGGCAGGAGGAGTGGCTGCAGGCGGCCAGGCCCAGGGAAGCCCCACTGGGCCTGAACTGAGTTACACTGGAGCCGTTCAGCTGGAGGTGCAGAGGACACACCTTTAACCAAAATCAGACCTTCTCTAGAGACTAAAAATGTGGTGAGATGGACCCCAAGGGAGTGAGTGATGCTACCCTCTTGAAGGATCAGATAAACAAGGCTGACTTTGAAATCTGAGGAGCTTCAGAAGTTTCTGGATATCTCCACTGTCCCAGAGTGAGTGATGGTAAGAACTAAACTCAGAACTGGCTTCCTGTCACCATGTAATAGTAGAATCAAATGGAGATAATCAGAGTTAAATCCAGAGGTGAAGTTTTGGAGTTGAATGGTGTGTGTGTGTTTATATTCCAAAGTCAAATGTAGGTGCATGGTTCCTCTATGTGGTTCCCTTTTGTTACATGTATTCCCTCTTTTTTCTCTCCAGTGCCATTTTAGGACTATATAATGAGCCCCCAACATCCTGAAGGATTCCGTGCCCGGAGTTCAATTTTAGGATGATACTTTAAACAGAGACATTTCCCTATAGATCTGGTAGGGTTTTGAGTGCCAGCCTTGGAGCCAGTTTGATTTATAATGTACCTTAGCTCTGATTTAAAACCTGAGTTTTAGTCTCCAAAACTTGAAAGTTAGTGAGGAGGTTATTTTGGCTCCTTCCCATCTTCCTTTCTGAGCCCATTCCTCATCTCCAAGTGTCCTTTTATCCAAGTGTTTTTCTGTTTTCTGTTTCTATCCCCAGAATGCGGTGTATTCCAAAACTGCCTGCATTCCATCTATCCCCTTAAAAATCTTAACTTCTGGCAATGATCTAGATTTGGTATAAAGAGGATATTACTGGCATTGAATTAAATTGTATTAAAATACGAATTTCACACCCCTCTAATTAGTGCCTGAGGAATTTGAGGTGATAGTAGGAATGAATTTCCTGGAATACAGTTGTGAAGAGCTTTTTAGCCATTCTAGGGAGCTGGCATCCCAGGCCAGGGCTAGCCTTCTGGGAGCTTTGAAGCCCTGGTAGGATCAAATGAGTGTTTTTGGAAAGTATCCATGGTAGAAATGTGAGGAGTGGAACCTCTAGTGTTACTGTAATAGTCAAGTGAGCTGTGAGCCCCAAACCTTCCCGATGTCCCCACTGTTCATTCCTGCATCCTCCCGCCCCTGACCCAATTAACTGCTTCTTGACATCAGTAGTAGTATACATTTTCTGTATCCTCCATCACGCATGTCTGTCCAATCACAGGAGTGTGTGCTGCTGGAGAACAGGCAGCCAGCCAGCGCGCTCGTCTGCCATCACAGCGCCGGTTGGGATACGCAGCCTCTCGCAGGCCCACGTAACCATTCGGGAAAGGGAGGAAGTGAAACGTGTGCTTGCCACATAGGAAATACTATATGTACTGGGAACTTTCAAACATTACTACGCCTTGTGTTCATCATGAAAATCCTTTGTGATGGGAAGTGTTAGCCCCGCTTATCAGGTTAAGGAAACTACCTGTACTCAGAAAGGTCAAGTGATCTTTACAAGGTTACATGTGTAATAGATGGCAAAGCCAGGAGTTGAGGCAAGTACACTGATTTGAAAGTCCCACGCAGCTACAACTTCCATGAATTATTAACCAAAAAGATTCTCTCATTTTGAAATTTCAGGAAACAACATGAGATAGAAACAATTCAGGAAGAGTTTGGGAAGACATTTGTGTGCTGGGATCCAAGTGGTAAGCAAACCACAGCCCGGTTTCAGAGTCTGGTTTTCCTGGGGGATTTCCTCCCAGCTTTTTCTGCCTCTCATACAGGGCCTTTTCTTCACATTTCACCCACTTTTCTTTTAAGAGCGCTGAGGTTTTTCCACCATGACTAAAAATGGTAGCAGGAACACCTGCACTGATGAGTCAGGTGGAGATGAGCAAAGGAACAGGCACAGGACGTGGACGCAGTTGGCAATGTTTATACATGAGAGCTTCTAAACTTATGATGCACTGTCTTCTATAAGTCAGAGGCTAATTATTCATAATTAAAACATACATAAGAAATCGGAGTTTGATGAGCCAGCAGATTTTCAGTGGAGAAAGGACACCCAGTAACAAAGCTGGCTTCATCTGGGGGCCAAAGAGCAACCGGTTTTGAGAAATCAGGTTCCATGCACATCCACCAGCCACAAAGGGTTTTGTTGGATTACCTCATGACGTTTAGCAGTTGTGGTTTTTCCCCCTTTTGCCTGCATTCTTAATGTAGCACTTTTTGTTTTTAGTTAAGTTCTTAAACTCCATAAATATACCTACTGCCCTTAAAACACAAAAGTTCAAAATGTTTTCTGTCTGCAGCTCCACCAGGAAAGGGGCCATTGTCTCTAAGTTTTAGTAATTGAATTAAAAGATAAGAGCCGGGGCCTCAACCTGAAGGTAAGGGGTCTGTACTGCCCCAGGCTTTCCGTCCTGTTGCTACAGACATCTCGAGCCTTTGTCCTGGGCTACTGGAGAGGCAGGAGAGGCAGGAGAGGCCGTGCTCTTCTAAAGAGCCCTCAAGTGCAGTGCCAGGGCCCTCAGGCCTCTGTCCCCTCTCCAGCCTCCTCTCCTGCCTTCCCCTCCACAAATCCTTTGATCCGGCCCAAACCTCTGTCTTGTCTCTGTGATGCTGGGCATACTGCTCTTATTTTTGAAATGCCCTTCACTCTTCCTTCCTGACTCCTCCCACGTACTTAATTAACTCCTGCTCGTTCCTGAGGTCTCATTATGAATGCCTTCCCTGGCCTCCCTCTCACCTGGATCATTGCCTATCACCTGTACTCTGTCTGTATTTTGTACACACCCGTCTGGTGCTTAGCATATTGGAGCATGATGACGGATTGGCTTGTCCTGTTCCCATGCAAGACTTCGGGCACTGTAATGCAGGACCATGCTTGTCAGATTGATATCCTCCACGTTTAGCAGGTTCTGGCACATACTAGACAGGTGCCCAGCTATGAGAAGTATGTAACTTGATGACTAGCAATCCAGGCTCTGGGGCCAGACTCTAGCCCCACGACTAACTGACTGGGTGACCTTGAGCACATTACTTGAGCTCTCAGTGCTTCCATTTCCTAATTTATAAAACAAGGATGATGACAGAACCTAGCTCTGGTGTTTATGTGAGAATTGAAAGAGGAAATGAGAGGCGGGTCTTGTAGGGATTAAGAGCATGGCCTCTGAAGTCAGTCACCTGGTATGAGTCCTGCTCTGCTGCTTAGTCTAGGTGACGCTGAGCACGTTGCTTATCCATCTGTGTTTTGTTTTCTGTAAAATAGGGGTAATAACAGTACCTACAGCTTAGGGTTGCTGTTAATGTTGAGTTTATGAATGAAAGTGTTTACAGTAGTGTGTGGCAGTAAATGTTTAATTAGTGTTTGAGTGACTAGATGAAAATACATATTGTGTTTATCAGGCATATCACGAATTTGGACATGTTTAGCCACTTCTTGGGCAAGCAGTCTCATTGATACTCTAAATGGTGGTTAAAGTCAAATAGTTTTAATCCCCAAATAATTTTCAGAGATAGTGACTATTTTTCTTAGAATTCAACTCTGATTTATTGTTCTCTAATTCCCGTATGTTTTTGTTCAAAGATGATAAAAGCCTGTGGTTCAAGGGATTGGAAATACCTACTTAGAGCAAAAACAGGGATAATAATTTGAAGAAAGCAAAGGAAGGAGACTTTCTGAACAATGAAAAAGGAAATGTTGACTTTTAGCATATAGGAATAGGGTACGGATGGTATGTGGAATAGCATTTGCTTCATGTTCAAGGACAGACAACCACATTCTTGGTTTAGTCTTCACACAGTTCCTTGGTCTCTACTTAGAGTTTCACGTTCCCATGGTGTCTTATTTTGAATTCCCCAAAAGCAAATGCTGAAACGTGGATGGAGTTAATCCTCCAAATTAATTGCGCAGCATTTGTCAAGTGCTTACTACACATGATGCTAGCTCACCTAAACTTTGAAACAGCCTTGAAGGAGAGCACAGTCCATGTCATTTGAAGTGAGGAGACCTGATAATCAGAGAGGCTAATTGACAGCAAGGAAGGAACTGGCATTTCATCCCCAGCATCTTGGGCAGAGCCTGCACCCTGCCACTAGGTTGTGTCTTACCTTTAGATTTGAAGAGACTTTAAGTGAAATCCCAATTCAAACTTCTTAATTTAGAATTAATAGTAATGTAGTTTAGACCCAGGCCAGAGTTTCCTTTGTGCTATTTTTGAACATGTGATTTGGTAAAAAAAAAAAAAAAAAAATATTCAGAAGATTGCAAGGTATTCAGCATAAAAAAGAGAAACTCTTATTCTTTAACATTTCTAACCGTTGTTGAATAGTAATTAGGGTACAGTAGTAATTAGCAAATGATTTTTCACTTTCAAAATTCATACCTATTTTTATTTTTATTTTTAATCTTCACTCAAGGGTATGTTTTTTATTGATTTTAGAGAGAGAGGAAGGGGAAGGGGAGAGAGAGAAACATCATTGTGAAGGAGAAACTTCAAAAGATTGCCTCCACTACACAACCTTACTGGAAATCAAACCCGCAACCTTTTAGTGTATGGGATGACGCTCTAACCAACTGAACCACCTGGCCAGAGCCCAAATTTGTACCTTTAAAAAAATTATTTATTTTTTTTAGAGGAGAAGAGAGGGAGAGAAACATAAATGTGTGGTTGCCTCTCGCACACCCCCAACTAGGGATCTGGCCTGCAGCCCAGGTATGTGCCCTGACCTGTAATCAAACTAGTGACCTTTCTGTTTGCAGGCTGGCACTCAGCCTACTGAGCCACACCAGCCAGGGCTATACCTGTTTTTAAAAGTCCGGTGAGATCTCTACTTTGCAGCCCATTGTTTACAATTCCCATTGCAAGTAAATATACCCAATTGTGGAGGAGGAGGAATCTTTCCTCTACCCTTCTAGGTTCTTCAGTCTGGTTTAATAATTATATCTACATGAGACAGATTAACAGGAGAAAATAGTGAAATTTAATTACATATATACATATGGGGACCCCAGATTCATGAGAGGTTCAGAGACAGATAAGGGAAATGAGGTATGTATGACATTCTGAGCTATGGATGACGTAAGGCATCTTGGGGGCGTCAGAGTGGATGGTCATTGTAGGACAAGAAGAGCAGTATTCAGAAATTAGTAGTTTGTCCTGCCATATAGATAGGTCAGGAAGGTTATCTGATAATCTTATGGACAAGGCCCTAATTCAATTCCTCTAGGTTGTTTGGAGGCCAAGTTTCTCTTGAGTCCACAGGGTCTCAGTTGCCTTCAGTTCAAAATAGTCCACATACCACAAAGACTCATCTTAGCTGACTCGTTCTGAACCCCTCCACAGTAATAAAGCAGATTTCCTTTCAGAATTTTAGACTTAAGGCAATTCAATACTTCATGCTTATTCTCTGAACTAAAAAGAATAGAACCAAACAGCAAATGGGTAAGGACCCTAAGTAATAAACCATTATTTTCAAACATTGCTTCCTTACATACCTGTCAAGTTCTAGCAGCCCTTCTGATGATATGAAAATGCCTGTGTCACAATATTTAGTTCCTAAAATCCCTTAATTTTAATGATTGATAATCTACTTATACCATGAGACTTGTTTCCTCATATTTTTTTGTTATTTAAATAAGATTGTTCATCCAAAAAGCTTTCGTGTGCTTATAATCTGCTAAATATTGACACCTTGGAAAAGACAGCAGATGTGCCCTGCCCCTAAGGAGCATTTTGCCTGGGGGGAAATTTTTACTGCATTGTTCATAATAATTTTATACTTTTGTTTTTCAGATTAGCCCAAGCAATGGAGGGATTACAGCATTACATCAACCCAGCGCATGCCATTTCTCTCCTGAGCGCACTCAATGAGGAGCGCCTCAAAGGACAGTTGTGTGATGTGCTTCTGATTGTTGGAGACCAGAAATTTCGAGCTCATAAAAATGTCTTGGCTGCTAGCAGTGAATACTTTCATAGTTTATTCACAAATAAGGAGAATGAGTCGCAAACTGTATTTCAGCTTGACTTTTGTGAACCAGATGCTTTTGATAACGTTCTGAACTACATTTATTCCTCATCTTTGTTTGTTGAGAAAGGCAGCCTTGCTGCTGTGCAAGAACTAGGCTATAGCCTCGGGATCTCCTTTCTGACTAATATCGTTTCTAAAACACCTCAAGCCCCCTTTCCAATGTGTCCCAACAGAAAAAAAGTATTCATAGAGCATGATGAAAACAGTTCTCAAAAGAGAAGTGTCATTGTCTGTCAAAGCAGGAACGAAGCACAAGGAAAAACTGTTAGTCCAAGTCCACCTGATCTAAGCCATACTTCTCGGCCTTCCCCGAGCATTGCAGTCAAGGCCAATACCAGTAAGCCACATGTTCCCAAACCAATCGAACCACTTCACAATTTGTCACTGACTGAGAAAAGTTGGCCAAAAGATGGTTCTGTGGGATACACAAAGTCTCTTGAACGTTCTGGGTCTCTGGATGATACCAACAGAAGCAGTCTGGTGAGAAGGAATGCAGTCCTACCTTCCACGCCACTACAAGACAGAGAAGCACTGGATGATAAACCAGGTGGAAGCGGTCAGCTTCCCAAAGGAAAAGCTATAGAGCTGGCTTTGAAAAGGCCACGACCACCTGTTTTGTCTCTTCGAAGCTCATCAGAGACTCCCTATCTATTGAAAGAAACTAACAGAGGAAGTGGCCCAGGCGAGGACAGAAACTTGTTGTACTATTCAAAATTGGGCTTGGTGATCCCGTCCAGTGGGTCTGCTTCTGCAAACCAAAGCATCGACAGAAGTGGCCCGCTTGTTAAGAGTCTCCTGCGACGGTCACTGTCAATGGACAGCCAGGTTCCTGTGTATTCTTCCTCCATAGATTTGAAATCTTCACAGGGGTCATCTGCAGTGCCTGGCGATGCACCAGGGAATGTGTTTTGTGCTTTATCTCAAAAGTCATCTTTAAAAGAGAGTGGTGAAAAACCAGCCCTGGATGATGGGACTCCACAGCCACACCGTCTCAGGTCCTTCAGTGCTTCTCGGACCACGGAGAGGGAGGGCACCCCTCCTGTTACTGAGGTTCGCATCAAGACGGAGCCCTGCAGCCCCCTGGCAGATCCCTCCGACATCATTCGGGTCACGGTGGGGGATGCTGCTGCAGTGGCATCTGGCACGAGAGACCTTTCTCTGAAAACGGAAGATGACCAAAAAGACATGAGCAGACTCCCAGCAAAAAGGAGGTTCCAGGCGGACCGAAGACTGCCACTGAAGAAGTTAAAGGTGGATGAGCACGGCTCTCTCGTGTCAGAAGATAATCTCGAGGAAGGCTCAAGCCCCACTCTCAACGCAGATTTTCCAGATTCTGACTTGAATAAAGATGAATTTGGTGAGTTGGAGGGAACAAGACCAAACAAAAAATTTAAATGCAAACACTGCCTTAAGATCTTTAGATCAACAGCAGGTCTTCACCGGCACATTAACATGTACCACAACCCAGAAAAGCCCTACGCTTGCGACATCTGTCACAAGCGGTTTCACACAAACTTCAAGGTGTGGACCCACTGTCAGACCCAGCACGGCATAGTGAAGAATCCATCACCAGCCTCTAGTTCACATGCCGTTCTGGATGAAAAATTCCAAAGAAAGTTGATTGACATAGTGAGAGAGAGAGAGATTAAGAAGGCCCTGATCATTAAGTTGAGGCGCAGCAAGCCTGGTTTTCAGGGGCAGAGTAGTTCCCCAGCTCAAGTCATCAAGAGGAACTTGAGGTCGCGAGCCAAAGGCGCATACATTTGTACTTACTGTGGAAAGGCCTATCGCTTTCTCTCTCAGTTCAAACAGCACATAAAGATGCACCCGGGAGAGAAGCCCCTTGGAGGACACAAGGTCGCTAAGCCGAAAGCGCTCGCTCTTGATGGTCCGGTAGAGAACAAGGAGGTTTTCCAGTGCCGCCTCTGTAACGCTAAGCTCTCTTCTCTCCTAGAGCAAGGCAGCCACGAGCGACTGTGCCGAAACGCCACCGTGTGCCCCTACTGCAGCCTTAGGTTCTTTTCACCCGAGCTCAAGCACGAGCACGAGAGCAAGTGTGAGTACAAGAAGCTGACATGCCTGGAGTGTATGCGCACGTTCAAGTCCTCCTTCAGCATTTGGCGGCACCAAGTTGAAGTCCACAATCAGAACACCATGTCTCTAGCTGAAAACTTCTCTTTACCCATCCTGGACCACAATGGTGAAGTCACCGGCTCCTCCAGGCCCCAGACGCAGCCCGAGCCTCAGAAAGCAAACCATGTGGTCACAGCAAAAGATGACAACACATTCAGTGACTGTTCAGAGCAGGTCAACTTCGATTCAGAAGATTCCTCTTGTCTCCCTGAAGACCTGAGCCTTTCAAAGCCACTGAAGATCCAAGTCAAAGAGGAGCCTTTGGAGGAAGCTGAGGAAGTGGCGCCTGAGGCCAGTGCAGCTCCCAAAGAAGCAGCTTCGAGCAAGGACTCCGGCCTGTGGCCCTGCGAGAAATGTGGCAAGACGTTCACAGTGCACAAGCAGCTGGAGCGGCACCAGGAGCTCTTGTGTTCCGTGAAACCATTCATCTGTCACGTTTGCAACAAAGCTTTTCGCACCAATTTCCGGCTCTGGAGTCACTTCCAGTCCCATATGTCTCAGGCTACAGAGAACTCAGCACACAAAGAATCTGAAGTGGGCCCTGTTCCCACAAACTCTCCATCACCGCCACCTCTGCCCCCACCACCACCACTGCCCAAGATCCAGCCCCTAGAACCTGACAGTCCAACGGGTCTGTCTGAAAATGCGGCTCCAGCCACGGAGAAACTGTTTGTTCCCCAAGAATCAGACACACTTTTTTACCACGCCCCGCCCCTGTCAGCAATTACATTTAAAAGACAGTTTATGTGTAAACTATGCCATAGGACATTCAAGACTGCGTTCAGTCTTTGGAGTCATGAACAAACCCACAATTAAAAGACCTACCTACCCTTTCACCTATAACAAAATGGGGGAGGTCTCTAGATTTCAGCCTAAATGGTGAAATGTGTCATATAAGAAGCAAAATATTTTTTACAAAAGAATAATAAAGGTTGGAAATTGTTATGTTGGAATATGTTTGAGGTAAACTGATATTAGAAATATCTGTGCTCAACTTAGGAAAACTAAAAAATACAGTGCTTCTGACCTTACACTCACAGGACATTTTGACTTCATTAATGTCGAAATTTGATTGATTTTGGTTGTTTGCATGGTTCCTCATTGCACAGTGTCAGTATAATCTTTTACCTGAGGTGGGGGTTTTTTTGTTTTTTGTTTTTTTTGTTTTTTTTTTTTTTTACTGATTTGCAGTTCGTAAAATACTGTTAAAGGATTTCTCCTTTTGATTATATTAAACACCTAAGTTCTAGTTAAATCTTAGCCATGCTCTTAAGTCCAAAACTTATCAGGAACAAGTGGAGTAGTTTGCAGCATTTAGGTCTTTAGAATACTCTAGCAATAAAAAAAAATTATGAACCTCAACTTTAATAAGTTATCCTGACACTTGATAAAAATATTTGGCATTTTGTGGTCATGTAGAACCTTTTTGTATGAAAATTGTGAGAAATTTAAATCAGCAATAGTAATACTTAGATTTCTATAAAATAAAAACTTGCTCTTGGGTCATTTAATATAATTATTGATGGAAGACTTGAGAAATGAAAATACTAAGATTTTTGGGAGGCCTCTAACATCCGTTTACAAAAGCTTTGGTAGCAGCAGACCAAACTGCTGCACCGGTGCTGTGTGCACATCACAGTTCTAAGTTCAGTCCAGCATCGGAAGGACTAAATGTTTGGTGTCCTCTGGTTTATGCTGCCACAAATTGAGGATCTAAGTGTATTTGGGACAAAGATAGCATGGCACTAATTTTGAAATTAACAACATTAGTATAACAAACAAGGTTGGGACCTACATTTACAAAGAGTCAGTCCAGCTGCTCTGAATCCCAAATTACCACTCACTTCCAGAGACTTGAAGCAGAGGGAGAAATGCCACACTGCAGTCTCACGTGCTTTTAAAAACTATTTACAATATACAGTTTCCTACCTCTTTTTCTTGTGATAAGTTCTGTTAGAATTTGTTGGACTTTATTGTGGTAAAACATCTGTAGTGAAACCATTCTGCTTTAAGTCACTGCTTAGTGTTTCATAAATAGGTATTAAAGTACTATCAAGGGTCCAAAATTAGTTTTTCTTCTTTGGGCCCTTAGGGTTTGGGTTTTTGTTTTTTTTTTCTATTTTGTATTTAAAATTAAATTGTAATTAAAAGCCTTTCAGTAGGTGTTATCCAAAGTTTAAGGAGCTGTTTCAAATGGTAAATTTTTTTCATTTGTGTGGGTGGTTAGATATGTAAGAGTAGAAAAATTGGGGGAATTACAAAAGCCTTTTAAGGTAGTGATAGCGGTTAAGACTCTCAAGTTTGTTTTTTACAAACTATTCTTTCAAATAAAAAAATTGACTACTGTGACTAAAAAATAGTTTTCTGAGTGCTTAAATTTGTGCTCCAGCAGAAAAGAACTGTCTTCATCAGTCTCATTACCCACATTCCATACCAATGCTAGGAAAGACATGCTTGCTTTTTACTTGAAATACAAGTATTTTTATAAAATACTAATTGTACATTGTAGAAATTACATAGGAAATTTTGCTTGTTCCATTTGAAAACTCAAAAATTCCCAAATATTTGGTTACTTCCTATTTCTGTTGTTACCTAAATTTGATGAAAATTAAGTTACAGTTAATAATCATTACCATCTTTATATTTTCTTGAAGAAATCTGTACATTTTAAAGATAAAACTAGGGCATATGATTTTATGTCAAAAATGAGGATGGATTATTGCCCATTGAGTTCGTCCCCTCTATAATGTGGTATTTCTTACTCTGAACACCTTGGCGGCTGTCACCTCCGAAGACCATTTTCCTCAGAGTAATCATTACTACGGCTGTCAAGTATCTATAATAATTCCATGATAAACAGTATCTTGGCATTGTAAATTTAGTATTCTGGGACTTGAACCTTTATTCTACTTTTTTGAGGTTTTTTAATAAAGTTAATTAGTAAAAAATATTTTTGATCTAAATACAGGCTCTGCAAATATGTTAGATTTTAAAAATTGCCAGTGGTTTGTCTTGTTAGTTCACATTTTTGTCTAGGCAAGGAACATAAGGATTCAAATAAAATTTTGAACCAAAAACATTTATAATGCAGTTCTGGTTTTTCTATTACTTTTTATATACTGTACCTTAAAAGCATTAGGCTGAAAGAGTTTATTTTGGTGGTCAAAAAGATAAAATATGCTTCTAGTCATGTAACTATTTTAAATGTTAAGTAAAATAATGAAAGACAAGTTAATTGCTTTATTCAATAAACAGGTTTTTAAAAAATATATCTCAGTAGACAAATACTTGGTGTAAGACAACTTGGTCTTTCATTGTTGCAATTCTTTAGCAAATATATTCTTGAAAAAGTTTTTTCTGATTGTAATTTTTGAAAATGTAGAAAACTCATTATTCCTTGTAAGTATTCAGGATGCCTGCTTTTTTATGCAGTTGTGGAAAGAATGTAAGATGTTTTAATATATTCTTTGTTAATCTGAGAACTTGTTACTGAATCATTTTCTTCATGTTGGGGAGGGAGGAACACCATAAAACGTGTTTCTATCAAGGTAAGCAATGGAGGTAACAAATAGTGCACATTTTTTATAGTAATACCTCAAGGTTAACAGAATATTTACCTTTAGAACTGGTATGGTTAGTATGTATTTATAATTTTACCAAAATACACAACTAACACTTCAACAGTGATGTTATGTGCACTTGTGGGAAGATTAAGTGGTTCTTGGTTTTCTGCTCTATTATGGATTGTAATAGCCTTCTCTTTAAAAATATGCCCCAGCACTTAATTGGTGATACTGTGATTCACACGCAGCACCCACAGGTGCTGAGAATAGAAACAATAAAACATGCCCTGTCACGGAGGCAAGGGGTGTTTTCATCTATAGGCCGACAGGACAGGAGCGAGAGACAGAATTAACTCATCTGAAGTCAGCCTCTGTTCCCTCAAATTCATGTGTGTGTGTGTGTGTGTGTGTGTGTGTGTGTGTGTACACATCTGCAGCTGTAATCTGGAACTCTAGGAAGTAAGGTTTTTGAATTTTCTTAATACAAAATAATTAGATTGTCATTCATAACAAGTCTCTCTATAAATTGCACTAAATAATATTGGAATATTACAAGTCAGTTTAATCAGTTTCTGATATCTCAAATGTTTTTGCAATAATTGTAAAAAACATTGATTTAAATAATACACATTCTTAAGTTCTTTAACACTGGTCTTTTTAAGTTTTAAAAATAGGTTTTTCTTTTGTGGCTTTAGCACTTTAAGAAGTTGGAGGTTCGTCTAATTTTTGTTTGTTCAGTGTTTCTCAGTGTTCTCGGGTTGTGGCATTTCCACACGACCAGAAGGAAACCCAACAGTGAGTTAATGTCAGGCTTTTAAAAAATTCCTTTCAGAGACAGTCATTTGGGAACCAAAGTATTTTAGTGTAAATTTGTAAAATAATTGCATTCAGTGCTTTTGGTCATTTATTAGTGCTGTCCAGATTTTCCACAGTTGTACTTGGTTAATACTGATTTCCAAACAGTGATAATTTCTTACTGAGATTAATCCAAGACTGTTTCAAAACTTTCATTAAATGCTTACTGATAAAAGGAAAACAATGTGGTTTTATAATTGTGTATATTTTGTTGTTATATCTTTAGCAGAATAAATCATTTGGTTTTATTTAGAAATAAGCTTTTTTGGACTGAAAATTCATAGTCAAATAGGATTTCTGTGGATTGTTAATCCATTGCTTATTTGTATCCAATTCTGTTGTCTGTTTACTTTGCTTAAATCTTGACTAAATGATGGGAGTCAATAAATTTGTACTGTATTTTGTTTTGAGTCTTAGTCTCATTGAAATGTTCTGGACTTCGATGATGATTAATAGCATTTAAATTTATGAACATGAAACTAAAACTCTTCTATCTAGCTAATATGGAGAGCTACCTACAAGCTGTAAGAGAAATTTAATTTTTCCTCAACAACTTCCAGGTTACTTATAGAATTGTTTGCACTACAGCTTCCCTAATTTGAGCATCACAAATATAACTAAAACCACATAAGCAACAATCTGCCTACCCACTTTTTTCTTTAGTCTTCAAATTAGTGTTTTTTAAAATGATTGTGGGGGTAAATGCATAAAAAAGTTTTTAAGCACCCCACATCAGCATTTCAGCATAGCAATTAATAAACTAATTTTCTTTCATAATTTCAAGGCCTCACATTGTAGCACTTTTTTCCTTCTAACGTGTCTCTTCCTTAACACCAGCGTACATTAACTTGGTTGCAGTGGGTCAGCTTTCCCTGTGAAGAACTGAGCTGTAGAATTCAGATCACCACGACCAAGCTGGCCGTGGAACTAGGGAAGGATGGACAGATTGGAACGGTCATTCCAACCCCCTCCTGCTGGAATTGGCACTCGCCTCTTTGGACAGTTGCCTGACACCCTAAACTAGTCTTTCTGGGGATCCTCTAGCTCGAAGAGTCTTAAACTCCCTGCACCAGGAGTAATTGGCAAAATCTTTATTTGACTCTCCTTTAGCCCTTCTATTCAATTTGCCACCAAGTAATTTTGTTCTAAAAGCTTAGATCTTCTGAGTAATAACGAGCTTTCCGAGGTCTGGGATTGTTGTGTTCCTGTTGCATCCTCCTTGGTCTTAGACACACACTCAAGACGTGTGTCAAGTGTGTGATATTTCTACCCAGCCAGAGAAGCTAAGTCTTGGCTCCGTTAACATCAGCTCTTGTGAACTGGAGTTCAGTGGCAGGTATTTGTATAAAGCTCTGTCTGGAGAAAAATGTCCCCATAGAAGTACTTTGAAAATACGGGCCCGCGCAGCCCCGCTGTGTGTGAATTCAGCTGTCCTGCCCAGCCGCAGGCCCCTTCTTCGGCAGCGGGGCCCTTCGGTGGATTAGTCGACCACAGGATAGTGCAGACCTGCGTTTTGCCCCGCTGAGTGTCTTAGCGGGGTGGCATCTTCTAGGAAATGCTTCCTGGCACCCCTTCACCCAGTCCTCAGCCTGCCGAAAGTAATCCCCCTCACCATGCGTTCCCAGAGAACCCTGGCAGAGCCCAGTCACTGCTTGACCGGTGTTTGGTCGAAACAAGAAGACCGGCACGGGGCCTCAGGGAGGGGCTGTTACTTGGCTTCATGTTTCCAAGACCAGGCCGAGAAGGGGCCTAGGAAGTATTTCATAAATAAATACAGCAGAGAACTCTTGTCAGAGGCGACAGACGACCAGCCTGTTTATTTTAAGCTCTGATTAGAAGGACACTTCCTGAATGTCTCTGCATATTTTCCCCAAATTTTGATTCAACTACTCAGTAAGCGACCCGGAGTGTTTTAAGTTTTATATGGTTCTTGGTGAACTCCAGGAGGAATGGAAATAAATGTTCAGGTGGCTGGTCTTAGGTGGGCAAAGTCCTTTGGACTGTAAATGGCATGTGCTAGTTTTGGGTGTGTGCGTGCTGTGTGTGTCCCTGGTGCTCCTTAAGCGCCCATTACGTCACCCCAGTGTGGTGAGTTTTCTAAATAGGCTCATCAGGAAACCTAAGAATAGTAATAGCTAATTACTAGTTATTACTGGTATTGTTGTAATAGCTAACAGTGAGAGCTTACTGCAACTTGAAGCAATAGGCACATGTGTATGCAGTATTTGTAAAGTAACAACAGGCTGGCTTTTCTTCCATATTATTTTTTACTTTTCCTCTCCCCTGCCTTCCCCATTCACAGCCCAATCATCTCTTCTCTCAATCTGGAATATTCTTCAGTCTTTCCTTGAATTTTATGGCCTTGATAATTTTGAAAGTTACGGACCAGTCACCTTATAGAGTGCCCCTCAATTGCAGTTTGTCCACTGTTTCCTTGT